TGCCATAGGCCTGTTAGCCTTGCTGGTTTTCCAGGTGGGCTGCAGGAAGCAGATCCTGGAAAGCCAGCAGTGCAGAATGGTGAGGTCCAAACAGCAAACAGTCTCTGGTGCCAGTTCAGAGGTCTCCCAGCATGGCAGTGGGAGGCTTCTGGGTGGTGGTGGCTGAACCCTTTTTTACTGTATTTGCTCCATAAGATGCACATACTCCCCCCCCCATTTTTTGGGGGGGAAAGTGTGTCTTATGGAGCGAAAAATACGGTATATTATATTACATTGCAGATATAGACTAGACATGGGGATGAATAAAAAAATGAATTGAGATATTCGTTAAAAATCACTGATTCATTAAATATTCATCCCCTCATATTCGTCAGTTCCAGAGACCCTGATGAATACAAAGGGACAAATATTGTCCCATTTTTATTAATTCCCCGTAGGAAGAGAGGGAAAGCTAGCCTTCCCTCTCTTCCTATGGCCTTCCCTTTCTGCCTATGGGCCCGCCAGCCAGCTGATTGGCAGGCCGATAGGCAGCCACCCACCCCCACAGCCCATCGCCTTCCTCTCCCTACCTTAGTGTTGCCACCATCCATCACCGCCCAGTGCCGCCATCATCCATTGCTACCACAGTCTCCAACTGGCCTCCGCAGCCATGGCCTGCAGAAAGGGGACACTGGCTGCCCTTTGCAAAGATGATAGCTGTGGCTTCATTTAGAGTAGGGAAGCCACAGCTGCCATATTTGCAAAGGGAGGCCAGCATCCCTTTCTGCAGGCTGTGGCTGCAGAGGCCAGCTGGAGACTTCAGTGGCGGCAGGCGGCAGCCCAGCAGTGGTGGTTCAGCAGTAGTGCCGCTGGCAGTGGTCCGCTGGTGGCGGTCCAGTGGTGGCAGCAGGAGTCCAGCGGCACCGGTGGCGGTGCCAGCAGGAGTGGTCCACAGTAGCGGTCCTGTGGCAATGGCAGTGCAGCAGCAGCCGGCAAGGTAGGGAGGCGACAGGGGCAGGCTGCATGGGTCAGCTTTGTTTTTCAGACAGCCTCTGGCTGTTTAAAAACCCCCACCCCCAACCGACGAATAAATTCATGGTGGTTGTAGGTTTTTCGGGCTGTTTGGCCATGTTCTGGAAGCTTTTCTTACTAATGTTTCGCCAGTCTCTATGGCCAGCATCTTTAGGAGACAGGAGTTAGAACTCTGTGTTCTGGTGTAATGTGAGGGATACACCAGAACACAGACAGAGGTCTGACTCCTGTCCTCTGAAGGTGCCGGCCACAGAGACTGGCGAAACGTTAGAAAGAAAAAAACCCAGAACACGGCCAAACAGCCTGAAAAACCTACAACAACCACCAGATCCCGGCCATGAAAGCCTTCAAGAATAAACTGAATAAATTCGTGCTTCGTCAGTTCAGGGGTGGGGGGTGGGGTGGAGCTTCGTGCTTCAACAACTTTGACAGATCAGACTATGGTTTAGGTCTCTGGCTGCAGAGCCAGAGGCTGGGAATTGGATTCTCCACTGTGCCTCCTTGACAGGTTCTGGACTTGATGATCCATAGGGTCCCTTCCAGCCCTGCAGTTCAATATTGTTGTTGTTGTTAAAAGTATTACATTATAAAATAATTTTTTTAATGCTAGATTCCCTATTACTTACACCCTGACAAATTTAAAGGTGTACACAGCTACACCAAGCTTTTACTTGTTAAAAAGTCAGGGTTTCTATTTACTGACATACACCAGTTGCTTGATTTGGTGCAAAATGAGATATACAAGTAACAAATTCTTAGCTAGCAGCAGTTTACCTCAGAGATTTATCCCATTTGACCTATGTTGGTGGGTGTGAAGTACTGTAGTAAAATTCTCACCTTTATTTATTTACTTACTAACTTTTTAATATCAAATTACACTAATGCGTGTTAGTAACAGAAATCTCTCCAAAACATTATATGTTCCCACCAAGCAATCTAAAATAATATCCTCAGCAGGCTTTGCCCCAAGTCTGAGAACACGAAACTCTTCCAAGATTTGCTACCACAAAGCAAAACAACTATTTTTTTCTGTCTCTAAATCTATCCCATTTCCAGATGATTTTCTTGATCACAGTATAAAATAAGAATCCTCTATGCCAGACTGTGATCGCGTCCAGTTCCCTCCTCTCCCTTTCCGGACTTGCTCTCCATAGATGACTCATGGGCACCGTTCGTTTTTAATAAAGGTTCTTTTAATTTTGACCACTTCTTATATTTAATATTAGTAGTAGTCTCAGCCTCTTGCTTCAGAGGTATCTGATCAGCTGCTTTATCATCCAACCACAAATCCCTCTCAACAGGTAGAGGCGCCGAACTGAACTCTTTATACTGCCATTTACATGGGATGCCCGACCCTCCGGTTAACGTGACACTTAACTTTACTGGTGAGGGTGAAAAAGCCATCCCACCTGAGGCTCCCAAACCTTCTTGCCATCATCTGGGTCAGAAGGGACTTGCCCCACAGGGATTCCCAGGACTTTCGGACCATGAGCTATTCCCACATCTCTGGGTCTCTTTTTTTTTGCCACTCTCTGAACTTCTTCCATTGTTCCCTTTCCTCAGTTTCACCCGAATAATGTGGGTTGCGATATACCTTCCGTTTCCACTCCTCTGCATATTCTCTAAGGCACTTTAAACTTGGTCAATTCCCCAGTCCATAGATCTTCTTGCACTATTTCTACCCAGCCTTTTCTCCTGTTTATCTTCTTCTGTCACCCAACAAGCTTTTGCCTCATCCAACTTCAACTGCACCCCCCATCCTCCTCTCTCCCTTTTATTCCTTCCCATTTTCCAGCTAAAATGTCACCCACTAGTGGTTCCTTCTTTTCTGGATCTCTCTGTCCCTCCTCACTCAAGCAGAATCCCTTTAAGGTCTCTTCCACGGCAGTCATCTTTCTCACAGTATCTTCACTCAAGGAGGTGGACAGCACACTCTGAGGAGTGGCCCTTAGGGCAGTGATCTCCAACCTTGGGCCTCCAGATGTTCTTGGACTTCAGCTCCCAGAAGTCCTGGCCAGCACAGGTGGTGGTGAAGGCTTCTGGGAGTTGTAGTCCAAGAACATCTGGAGGCCCAAGGTTGGGGACCACTGCCTTAGGGTACTCCCAGCCTCACACAGACAACTGAAGTAGTCTACTCCTCTTTGCTTTAAGCACAACCTGAATTCTGAAAAGTAGACTGCATCTCTCTTTTTGCAACAGCTCTGAAGTTTCAGAATATTGCTTTTCATTTTTATTGTTGTGCCAGTTTTTTTAATTTCTATTGAGCATTTACTAAGAATCAGAAATCATCCTTTATATTATGAATGTCAGTTCCTAATACATAGTAATCCCTGTACAGTATTCCAACATTGTCATCTAGTAGAACCAAGAAACACAACCTCGAAGTGGCTACAATTGAATTCTGTTGGATACAGTATAAACACTGCTTACTGGGAGGCAAGTGAAAGATTACAAAGTGCAAAAGGATAGTTTTTCATCCTTAAGCAATACAGCGCTGTACTTTCTCCCATATAAATAAACTGTGGGTATTTTTTCCTATGGCAAAGAGTATCGTGGGTACAATGTCAGATTATTCCTCAGCCTAACCTTTAATAACATGGAGTGGGGAGGAAAGCATGTATGTAAGCTCCTTTCAGCTCTTTGGAGGAAAAATAAAATAAAATAAAATGGCTCTCCAAGTGAGAGTGGGCCTCCGAAGAAAATGTGGACAGTTCTTAAGGGAATTGATAATTATACACTTAAATGCTGTAACTGAAAGAAGGCAGAAAACCCAAGCCAAGAGATAGGGTTTCAACAATAAAGAAGAAAGCACTGTGACTTTTGTGTTCCCAGCAGTACTACTGACCCTCAGAGGAAGAAATTTAAAACAAGACACTTCTCTCTCTACAACATTTCCATACAAGAAAAGGTTTCACATAATATACTTTAGCCTTTTGCCCAACAATTAACTGTACAGGACTTCTTGTCAGGCAGTTTCTTTTTTAATTATTTTCCAAGAAGAGCAAGATTTTTTTTAAACCAAATGCTGGAAAAAGTTCAGAAGAAACAAAAAAGTTTAGTATAAAATAGGATTATGGAAGCCTTGATCTAATATTTAAATACTTACAGTAAGTATTGTTCTTATACTCTAATGTCTATCAAAACACTAAGGAGTGTCAAATCTGGAATACCTGTCCATAGCTTAGTAATCAAACACCTTGTCTGGGAGTGGAGAAGGCAAAAAGGAGATAAGAAGAAAGAGGTCTGTGAACTGAAACATAGGAGCGGCATAAGGGGATGATGATTGGGCAACGCTGCCCCCAGAAATCCATCAGCTACCTCTGATCAGCAAGAGAAATTTAACTTGTATTCATTTCTGGATGCTCCATGAACATTTCTGCAGCGTGGCATGCAAAACATGCTGTAAATGCTGGTTATAATACATTATAAGAAACTTTCAGCACGATCTGGTGTTGGTAGTTCTTTTGGAGGAAATAAAATACCTCATGTCTGTATCATAAGACAAATGTGATGTAGTGTGTGAGAGTAGGCCTGAAAAGGACTACAGTTAGCCACTCTCGACCACAAAACTCAAGCCATGCCCCGCCTAATCTATTTTATAGGTTTGTTGTGAAAATAAATGGGGCAGAGGAGGAAAAATGTGTGCCTCCCTGAATCCATAGAACTAAAATACAACTAAACTCAGCAGGTGCAGCCGGAGATTAGAAGAGACAAGGTATCATGGAGTTATTACTAACATGATAAAATGTACTATTAGCTGTGACCAAAAGGCTGCTGATTCATAACAATCATGGACAGATAAGTTAGGGAAGCAATGGCCTGTCACACTTGTAAGAGGACATGGGACTGCGGGGCCGTCAAAAGCTCACATTAAACCATAAAAGTTAAGTCTTTAAGGTGCCACTACGTTTTTTTGCATTTTAGGGTGTTATTTTTATTTTTATTTTGTTTTTGTCTGATATGTTTGCACAGGCTAAGGTGGCTACATCTTCCAAGTCAGTGTTGAGTACAGTAGCTGTTCGTGATGAAGGTGCCACAACCCACTCAACTCACTTCTGTGTTTTGCCGGAGGCACAGGTGGCATGGGTTGGTGCAATACAGGGTGCATGGAAAACACATCTAGGTGCTCTTCATTAACCGAGACAACCTGCTTACTGGAGCTACCTTCACGTGAAAGGCCAAACGGGCAATGCTAAGATAAATAAACATGGAAGACATTTATCCTGCTGCCAAAACTTAGGTCATGTTTAAGATGCCGGGCGCCGCTTTCCTTATATTCCTGGTAAATCCTCCCTTCCAGGCCCGGGGCAGGAGGGTGAGCTTGTGGCGTGGGCGCCCAAACGACCAGAAGCGTTTCCCCTGACGGTGGTCGTCGCTGCCTGGTTCTCTTCACACAGAACATGGAACCTGAGTGCGGGTTCAAAGCCAACCCTTCCACAAAGGCGGTCTCCCCTTGAGTAACTTATTAGTCGCTCGCCTCTACTTACCGCCCTCTTTCTCTTCCTCTGACGAGTGCAAGAGCAGAAGCAACGCCAGGAACAGCAGCAAGGAATCCAGCGGCCAGCGGCGGCGGGGAGGCCACCACGCGGGGCTCAGCGTCCCTCCACCGCCACCCGGACCCATGTCGCCTCCCCGTCCCGTCGGCCCGCTCTGGCGCGCCTCTCCAGAGCCGAAGCCTGGGAGAAGCCCCGCCTTCCCAGCGCCTTCTACCACATGCTCGCCACCCCACCCCAGCTCTTCGCCCCGTGGCGGCGGCCACCCGTGCCGCCAAGCCCGCCGTCGAGAGAGGCTTTCGGCGCAGCGCTGGTCGCACCTTCGTTTTTACAACTTTCTTTCACGAGCTCTTTCCCACCTCTTGCGGGGCAGAGGTTTCTGAAGAAACGGCAGAGTAGAAGGAAGCAGCGTTTCGGTTGTGCGCTGTTGCGCAGCAGGGATGGCGAGAGGTGAAATGCTCTCGTTTCCAACCCGCCCACCACCCCAAGGGTTTTATCTCGGGGATGATTGTGCTGCTTCGAGACACTTAAAGGCTGACGACAGGGGCTGTTACTTTAGGTTTAGAGCATTCCAGGGAATGCTAAAACCTACCCGCATGTTTCTGGTCCCTGTCAGGGGCTTGTGCGTTTTCGGCGAGGGTAGGATAGTTTCGTTTTGGTCGGTGTCCGGTGTCTCCGACCACTGGAAAGGAGACCAAGCAAGCCTTCCTCTTTGGAGTTGCCATATTGTGAAGTGGCTTCAGAAGAGAGCCGCTTGGGATATTGGCAGATCATTTCCCAGAGTGT